TTGGGTGGCACTGTGGGACTCAACACGCAAACAAGCGACTCAGTTTTGAATCTATGTAGTGCCAACATGTGTGGCATTTTACAGAACAACATGAACAAAAAACACATGTCTGTACCAAGAAGTTCATGATCAGGGCTGTTACGCATGCTACAATTCTGCAGGAGGAAAAATATGCAACGTCTTGATAACTCAGCTCCTTGAAAACATCACCTTTCATACACGCAAGACACTTCCTAACCCTTACAGTTGCAACAAATATGCTTGAACATATATGGGTGGGCATTGCCAGCTGAAATCTCAGGGGGGCAGCCAAACAATCAGGGGAGAGGCTAAAGTAGCCTTCAGTGCTCCATGTGAAGGAATGGGTTTCTGTGTAGCAAGTTTAAAACTGACTCAACCCCCTCCTTTTGTTGTTTCAAAAGAGAGCATTTTAAAATGCGTAAAACTTGAGCTGTTGAGCAAAAACATAATAAGGACACAACTGCATAAACAAGCTCTCTCCCTTATCAGTCATGGGAAGGGATGACCCTGACTCTTTAGGGGATCAAAGAAAACACGTCAATACTTTATCTTATGTGCTCACCACAAAATACGTGGGGACCGATGTCTGGGGAAAAAGCCAAAAGCGTGTTCCCGGAGATCATGACCTCTTCCCAGATAAGAGTAGGAAGAGGAAGATCCTTTTATGGTCAGAAATACAGGAAGGACGATCCTTTTATGGTTGAGAGTACCAGAGCAGGAGGTTACACATGTTCTTCTCTACTATGAAATTGTACATGTTCATGCAAATAATAATATCATCAAATAAATTGCGCGAAGTCAGAAATTAAGAAAATATACTTGATTTTCATGATTTATACTGACTGTGCTATTCTGCCTTTCTTGGTACAGTATTTGGATTACCTGGGTGCCTCTCCCTGTGCACAACCCACATCACCCCCAAATCTGCGTCAGTGGGTTGGAAGAACCCCCAGAACGAATTAAGAGAGCACGCAGGAGGGGAATAGCGTTCTTTTGTGCAAGGGGAAATCTCCGTGCTAACAGGACGTTCCCCTTAGCATGCAGTGATTACACTTTAATCCAATTATGATAAATCTAATAGGCTGGAAATCAGATTATATTGCCGCAGTGGTTTCCACTGGCCTTAAACATGGCAGGATTCAGAACTATTTGTCATTCCCTGTCCCCTCTAATTTCAGTATAATGCACTTCGGGGGAAGTGCTCAAAAATATGCTCGAGACCAAGAAGCTGCTTATGGATTTCCAAAAGGCCCTTATGCGGAGATCCACAAAAGAATATTCATTCTTAGTAATAATGTACTCTGCAGGGCAGCTAATGCTCTGTAAAAGTCACTCCATTTGAGCTGGCTTGTCCACAATTGTCCACTGAAAAATACATCTACGTACCAAATCATGTATAGCAATTCTAGCCAATTCTATTGAGTCAAGGGGGCAAGAGAATATTAAATTTGTGAAATTGCCTACATTCTACTTAACATTCAAAATATATAAATGCATTTTGCAAAGTCTATTGTTTGCTGCAATTATCCTAGATCTTGAAAAGAATGCATTAGCTTCATGATAAGCTTTGTGGTAATAATGACTGATAATGTAGAAGCTGCAAATGTGTTTAAGAGCACTCATTTGCTTTCTGTAGCAGACTACAATTAACAAGCTGGAGCAATCTGCTTTAAATCTAAAATGCATAGGGAGAGAGGGGCAAGGCTATCAACAGAACAAACTACTGGGTGATGCAACTGACTCCAACATCACAAGTACTGAGGTTTGAAGGCCCATACCCTTAGCAAGCTACAGGACCCAGACTATGAAAGGGTGACAGTATTGCTTACCCCTTTGCAGGCACTCACAAGACTGAGCTGTAAGTCTGCATGCCAAGAAGGGGGCTGAAGTTATTTTAAACATCCATTCAAAACTCAGTTTCAGCTGCCAACACTGAAATATGTAAGTTCTGTATCCTCTTCATCAGACGCCATTGAGCAATTGAAACTATTCACTAATACATATGGCTAAGAAGGGCTAATGTTTCATCTAGCCAGCACAGGGATTGCATAGTTCCTCCGCTAAGAGTTTAAACTGTGTACAAACCATAAAATTATGAATCCAGGGAGATTTTTTATACAAATAAATAAGCACTGGGGAGATGAAGAAGGCGCAGATTAAATGCAGGTATGTACTGCACAACTGGCCAATTTGTATAACCATGTGCTGTTCAGTTTGCGATCTTCCTTTCCAACTGTTTTGTACTAATGAAGGCAGCTACTTTGCTTAATTATTACAAAACAATTTACTGTGAAATGGGCATTAGCAAAATTAAACATGTGGCAGGAAGCAAAGGAAATTAAGTTACATGAAGATGGTCTTTTCAAAGTGTCTGCACTCCTTCTTACATCTCCTCATTTGACCTGTGTTTACTGCAACTATACATGATGGTTTGGGACAAGGCCGGGGGGGGGGACCTCCAGAAGTTGTTGGACTCCAGCTCTCCCTCAGCCCCAGCCAGTAGAATCAGTGTTCAGATGGTACAGAAACTGTAGTCCTGCAACATCTGGATGGCACCACCTTAGCCACCCCTGGATTAGAAGATGTATGGTTCTGCATACCATTACAGATCTTATTTCCTTCCAAAATTTTATAATCCATTTATCAATATAAAGACTCTAATTAAAGTCATTTCCTTAGCACTGTTTGGTATACATACCACTTGATAGTTCTTTTTGCTCCCTTGCTTCAATATTTATTAAGTGCCT